GCCCCTCCTGCTCACCTGGGCAAGGGTGAGTCCTTCCTCCTGCTCCAGCTCCTGGCTTAGGGCCAAGAAATCCATCTGTGGATCTGGGGAAAGCAGTTCTTCCAGGACTGTCTCTTATACACAGCCCTCCACCTGGAAACAGAAGGAAGAAGGCGTGAGCTTCTATTCAGCCACCCTCTCCCTCCCCTCCCTCCCCTACCCTTCTCCCTTCCTGCCCTCCCTATTCAGCCACCCTCTCCCTCCCCTCCCTCCCCTACCCTTCTCCCTTCCTGCCTTCCCCATTCAGCCACCCTCTCCCTCCCCTCCCTCCCCTCCCCTCCAAAGCTAAGGCTCAGCAAGATCAGCACTGGGGGAGAAGAAGCTTTTGACTGCTTTGGGGCATCGGATGCCAGAGCCCCACCCTTGGAGATTGGCACCAAAAGTCTGCCCGGAAGCCCCTACTGGCTACAATGCCGCTTCTTCTTCTTCCTGGAGACCAAGAGGTCACCCTTTCTCTTTTGAGACTGTGAGGGGCCACCGAGCCCCCCAGCCAGGGATTGCTCCCCAGAGACCCTGAGCCCAGGCCCTGCGTGGGGTGTCTTTTCAGCAGGGGATGGGCTTCCGAAGAGAGGTCGCTTCTTGGACTTGGTAGCAAGAGAGGGTGCTAGGCTGAGGCCTCTTCTTTGAGCAGATGGGGACTGAAGAACTCCCTGGGGTCCCCACTTTTCTGGGCTGAGAAGGCCCAAGGCAGGGACAGGGCTCTGGGGTAGCCTCCAGGGCAGCAACTTGTGCTGGGAACCCAAGAGGAAGGCCAGGCTGGGGAGCTCCTCCTCCTCACTTGACCCCTGAACCAGTCCGTGTGACTCCCTGACAGGAGACCCTCCGGGGAGATCCAAGGCATCCTTGGTCCCCAGGCCAGGGCAGGTGGGTCTGTGGTCCTGGGGAGGAGAGGTTGACCGAGCAGCCCTCAGCCCGGAGGAATTCTGACATCCCAAAGGCACCGCAGAGTCTTTGGACCTGGCCATGCCGGTGCGTGCTCTGCCTCGTCCCTGAGAGTCCCGGGCAGCCGTCTGGGGTGGGCAGGTTTCCATGTCAACCCCTT